AAAATTTGGATGGGTATTATTTTCCAAAAATTCTCCTCCATCTGAGGGGATACCTTGCTACCAAAGTTCTATAATGAGCGCTTGTCGCGCGAATGTGGCTGCCAGTAGCTAGCTCTCTGCCAATGGTACAACAAAAGCTATTCTGAGAAATGGGGGAGCGTTTGTTCCTTCTAAAATGCAAACCTTCGCGAATGCACAGCGATCTTCAAAACTGCGCTCTCTATGAAATTTTGCCAAATTTTCAATTTTCTGGGAACCTACACTGTTCTGTTAAAACCTGCTGTCTTCATCTCGACATGTTTTCCGAAGAACTTCTTCAACAACGCATGGGTCGCGTGACACCCTCAGGGTTACGTAGTGCTGCAAAAGAAGGTACAGGCGGGTATGTCAGTTGTGGTGGTGGTGGGTTCAAATTGAGAGGTGCTGTTGACGCCTTTTTCTCAGGTTTCCTTATTTTAAGCATCACTGCGCATGCGTTGTTGTACGGTCTGAGAAGGAGAACAGTGGGGACAATTATCGGTCCTGTGAAGAACTGGAGGATACGCAGCAGCCATTCAGCACGAGCGTCATCGTCGAAGGTGGTGTCGCGTGTCAGATAATGTATTGAGAAATGCCCTGAAAAAAAGGAAAACGTTGGACAACCATTGGAAAACGAGGCAAACGGTTGACATCTTTGAATTTTGTCCACCATCAAATGAACTTCGTCTCAACAAAGCTTTTGAAAAATCTGGTTCCAGCCACATCTGCGTTAATCGTAGGTACTACACCCAAGAAATGTGGTGCGAATTATGAGTGGAAAACCTTTTTGACTTCTCTTCATAAATCACGCTCTAAGGCAAACTGTACCTTCATCATCGTGAACCCCGGTCCTTGTTGCGAGGGAGAAGAATGGGCAGTCAGCTGCAGACTGTGGTGGTACCTAGGTGTCATTTTTGCACACCTTCCGCGTTGTCGGACCAGCCACACAACTACCCGTAAACGAACACGCTTCTCGTCTGCCCCTCTCACTTCTGGTTGTGGTCTGCTTGCGTCTCCGCTGCGAGCTTCGTTGCTCCCTTCAGCCGGGCTTTTGAGCAACTTCCAGCGGAGAAATTGCACTCTACGGCAACTGCGGACCCATTTACCTCGCACCTCAGGGTCCACGGAGGTGAGTGTGCGTTCTTCCTCACGGTCCATGCGCTTTCATGTTTGTGAGGAAAAAGGCGACACGGTAGGCGACCAGTAACTTTATACAGAGGGTTAAGGGGTGCCATGAGACAGAGGTGGTACAGAAGGTGGTACAATCTCTGCGAGTGCGGACAACGATGCGAAATGGCTCCGTGCATTTGGCATCTCCGCATTCTCAGAGATGTACCGCCTTCGTCACTCAAACGGCGAGATAAAGAGGCTAGAGACGCGTGTTTATTGCAACCATTCAACTGTGATTACTTTCACTATCAAGACAACGGCTAACAAGTGGAATCGCGTGGGTATGTAGCGTTGCCGGGAACGTCGTAAGGCGATTTTGTACGCGCTTACAGTTGCGCGTAGAATTCTGCTGATTGGGCTTGTCCTCATGGTGAACTCGTCCAAGGCGCCGACCCCCTTGGGAGGTCTCCGTTCTGTGTTTTCCCAAGGTTTATTGTTACTTTCTCTAGTAGGGAGTTATGGGCCACTGGTTCATGATTGAGCATCACCTACCAGCAATACCTGATCGCGGATATTGTCTTCAAGACTTCAACGTCCACTACGCTCCATTTGGTGCGCCTTTTGATTCCATCTAGACTACTACCTGATATCAACCCTTTGTGAAGGTTGTGCATCGCTAGTGAAGCACCCACGTAGCGCCAAAGGGTAATATGCTTGTAACCCAAACATGCATACGTTCTATGGGAGCACGTAGTGCATCGTTGGATTACGAATAAGATTTTGCGGATGATAGTTGGCCCACTTATAAGGCAGAAGGTAAGAGGTCAAGATAAAAATGCCAGAACTAAGGCCTGCGTGTTTTCCCATCACTCTTATGCTCCGTATTATTGGTTTTTGAGTGCCACTCAAAAACGTGAAACATTCCATCACGAAGTGCGGCTTGCAACATTACTGTGAACTTACAGAGAGAATAACAGCATGGAATCAGTGCGAGGAAGGATGCTGACATTGCCAAAGCCAGTCGCATCCAAGCATCTGCCAAAACGTCGTCCTTTGAAGAGTTTCTTCTCGGTGAAAAGTAGGCAGCCATCAAGCACTGCAAGATCGCGGAGTTCTCCCATTGCTCTTATATAATTTTAATCAATATAAATATCAAGAACTGTGGTCAAGTTAATGAGTTAACAACCTCAGAGCAAAAATACCGATAGAAGATCGTATATTTTTACGTGCAATAGATTTATTGCCATGGCTCGAATGCTAGGTTACAGCATAATTTTTTTGAAGAAATTCTAGATTGAATCTAGACAATGAAAATGGGCGCCATTATCTCGTTATCATCTACAGCTCTTTAATGGGTACATGTAATATTCCTCTTGAATGAAATTCTGAGAAAGGGGGGAAGGGGTTAATAAGCCTTAGGCGGCGCGGAACGGCGGTTCAAGTAAGCCTTGCTTTACAGACTTGACCGCTGCGGATGATAGCGGCGTGGCGGAGGGATGGGGCAAGCTACAAGACTGTATCATATGGTTTGCATCAGTTATTTTCGACCAGATATTGCCGCTCACCCGCTTCCACAACTAGTGGAGATGCTGGCGGCCTGGCGAACGCACCTCAGTGACACGCACCGCAGTTAACAAGACTAGCGCCCCCCCCCCTGACGACTACTTATGCCGCAATTTAACGCTACGCACCATCCTGTAACAATAAGAGCCCACATCGATGCTCCTGATTTTGTTCCTGCTTTCTTGTCGAGTTTTTCAAAGCCATTCTTTCCAAAAAAGTGAGACAAAAAAGACGCACTAAGACTTACAGTGACGAAAAGCACGACGAGAACAGCAGAGGAACAAATGACAACCAAAGCAGTGGCAAATTTTGGAATGCCACGATATGGTGGATCCAGGAAATTGTTCACCGAGCCAAGTGTTAGCGCTACAAGCAGAATCGTCGTGAAACCGAGCCTGAAATTTTTGCACGGTATACTTGAACACTGACAAATTAAGAAAGTTTCAAGCAGGGACCACCTAGACTCGATCGGAATAAACTTGCCAAATAACTTCATCTCTTCTTCGCAAGTATAGATAAACAGCAAGGACTAGGCCAATGTGCAGAACGTGATAGGGATCTGGCCACGAGCGCCCAAAAAAAAAATTGAAGCAGCTTTAGCTTACAACCAGTAGCGGAAGTCAATTAGCCAGTTTGCGCTGCTCGTGAGGAAGAAACGGTGTTGCTCCCCTACCTGACCCCGTATCTGGGGGACGAAATACCTGGATCCATGAATACCGGTCTGTCACCATATTTTACTCTTGATGAGGAGTGCGTTATATTCAGCTTCGTTTCTTTTCTTGACATGATTGTCCTGCTAAAAGTACTGACCAAAGACTTGGGGTAAACTTCAATCATACAATCCTAGGGAGGTCGCTTACATGATTTTTGTTCGAATTCGTAGAAGCACCAATTGTCTCCATTTGCCAATGAGCACTCTGTCTATTATTGCATTAGGGTAGTATTTCGCTTCACTGACTGAAGCCAGGTATCACCCCCTCCGCCCTGCCCTCTTCCCGTTCCCTCCCCCCAAGCAAAGTATACTATGGTTTCCGTCAAGGGATTGAATAGTGAAGGCCGAGATTGATCTCATCATCCTGGCACGTCGTTCGATCTCAGTGCGCATCCATCCCTTGCTTGAGCCTTGATTTAAAGTCTTTTGATTTTACTATATGCTCACCATACTCTATCCATTTCGTCGATGCGCCTCTGCTGTAGTACTGTGACGATCAGAAGAAGTGACAGTGCCGCAGTTCCCATCACCACATGCAGCTGACTGGCAGTGATCAGCGCTCCGTACAAGTTGGCGACAAAATAGCTACTTAAATGGAGGGTTTACTCATTGAAAAAAGGAAAAATTCGAGCAATTCTCGATCACAATTCTCGATGTTTTTCAAGAATGTTAATTTGATGAGCGTTTGGTCGAGTACGTTCAACAGTTCGCTTTACTCCTTTCAACTGAATAGTCTTCTTTTTAATAGGGAATATTTTCCGAAGTGGCTAAAAAATCCGAACCATTTTTTACATACTACAGGGAGGAGGCCAAAAAAGAACACTTCCATTCCTTCGTTTTCAAGGCGATATGACATACACTGTGTCATTGATTTCTGATTGAACATTTTACACCACCACAATCCTACATACACTTGTTACCCCTATCAAGATACTTCCGCCACAGCCTTCTGGACGAACGCCATCGAGAGATTCTGCCACGCGACCGTGATTCGGTGCCTGAGCGAGGTCGTTGATTTCTCCGCCACTGTAGACCACCCTGTTGAGCTCCGCTCGGACCCGGTAATTGAGGGGGTTCAGGTCAGGTGACACACTTGGATATTCCGTCTTCTTCAGGTACTCAACGCCCTTCCATTCCAAGTAGGCGAGAGTTTTTCCAACGCCCTTCGATTCCATGTGGTGGCACCCAATCCTGTAGCAGTACGAAGTTTCCAAGATGGTACAGGCGACGACATGAAGGCAGGATATTCTCCTCGAGTTGTCGATGTAACGTCAGCGTTCACTTCAGTCCGGGGTCCACGAAGAAAATATCGGTCTCCCATTCCAGGGTCCATACCATCAACCCGCGCCTTGGCGACTGCGGTGAAGATGATATCCTGGACCGTAGCGACGTTGTCGGAGCTGCTCGATGTTGGAGGTCTTCCAGATCAAGAGTGCCGGTCTCCAGGTAGCTGTCCATGGGTGACTCCATACAAGAAGTTTCGCAGCTGTTTGGAGGTGACGTGAATTCCATAGGCCTTCTCCAGTCAGGCTGCGATTGGAGATGGCTTCATATTTTGGTGTACATGAAGGTGATGGGCGAGAGCCTGCTCCTGCTTATCGAGGAACATCTTGGGTATCTTCCGCCCTGGTACTCGTATCCACGTCTTCTCTCTGGGCTGCGAAAACTTTCACTGATATGTGACTCGGCCGAAGTGTCTTTTTTGGTCCTCCTGTACAAAATAGGCATTGATTTCACAAGCGCAGAACTACTTTGCATTTCGGAGCATATGCATTAAGGGCAGAACCCGCGATCAAATTCTCTT